GGGGGGTGGGGGGGGGGGGGGCAGGCGGGAGCACTGGTGACCCCCCTGAGAGCGCCGTCCAGGGAGTGGGGGCACCAGGAGAAGCAAGTGCCCCCCCGACTCAGGAGGCACCAGTCTCCCATGCAGTAGCCATTTTTTCTGCTGTCTAGCAAATAGAAAGCCAAGGATAACACACCCTGTACTAGTTGTGAACTGAAGTGAGAACACGCATGCAAAGGCAAACTATATTGCTATTAAGTGATAAGCCAAGTGCTACTTTATGTGGCAAAAATCTAATAATTGAGGAGACAAACAAGAAACATATTAGGACCAAGAACAGTAGATAATGCATTGAAAGTGAAAGCCAAGTGAAACACCACAGTTGTCATTAGAAATTTAGATAAACATCAATATCCAATTGTTTGCTTAACAGTAAATTAAAACATACCATAATGCCTCGTGTAGATGAACAGATGGGCACCAGGACCTTTAGGCCACCTTGTTCGAGCCCAGCTCAATAGCCGTTTGTTTGGTTTTTGGAAATCATTGTGAAATAAGTCATGTTCATCAAGGTGCTAATACTCAAGTTTTAACATCACACAGACAGTGACAGAAAAAGAACATGCTGAGGAGCAGTGTGGGAGATTTTTTCACCAAGATGGTCCATATACTGGCTGTTCTGTGGGTAGACAGTAGACTACACTACCCAGAACTATCAACTCAACACCCTTTACAAGCACTGAGTTTATTTGCATGAAGTTAACAGCATTGTAAAGGACACTGGAATTCAGACCCAAACTTGAGACAGGTGACTCTGTCTTGGCACACACAGCTCTCAATGCAAGCATGGTTCAAACAGAGGGTTACCAACCATAGAGCCTTCTCCATTCCATTTGTCACCCATCACTGGATCGCACACTGCAACAGAGAATACATCCAATTTTAGAAACCAACAAGGATCTGCGAAGTAAAAATGCTGCTAAGAATTGCTAGTAGGTATGTTACAACCTATCTGTTTAGTAACTTTCATCTTCGAACAACTGCCACACTACGCTGGAGCAGAAGTTTGTAAACTGGCTATCTACAGCCTGTGGAGGAATTTGGGTGCTATCATGAAGAGGTGTCAGGGGCTGTAATCAATCACCCTGTCCACACTGTTTAATCTGCGGAGATGGGGAGGGGGGAAAAGGTGTTGTGGTATGAAAACTCCTGCCTTGGATCTGAGCTCTAGAATATTAGAACACTAGGCAGAGAGATGAGAAAAGTTAATGTTTATACAATATTATAAGAAAGAAGAATTTTTCTTCCAGACCAGACCTGGTAAGCACATATTTGGCATGATAAAAAAAATAGTATTAAACTTGACATTTTTGGCAATCTCAGTATCATAAATAATCATAATACCCTACTCAAAGTAACCTCAATTTCAAAAGAGTAAGAACAGTCCTAGCAGCTAGTAATGTGTGGTAGAACACCAAAACTATCCTTGGTATTAGAATTAAGTATTGAAATAAAAACATTTCATATTCCTTTTTCACCAGTCAGCCCATCCATACTCATGCAGGCTTCTGTGGATGTCAGTGGGAAACCTGGCTTACTATCTTCCAATGAACAGAAAGAATGTTAAGAGTCCAAGTGACTTTATCATTTGGCTGCTTAAATTCTGCATTTCTCAGATGATCCACAGCTAAAGTGGCTAGTTTCTAGTTTCTGTTTCTAGTCTGTTATATTTTTTGGATGTAATGCCCAGGCTGAAGGCTGTTACCTTAATAAAACCTCAAAAAATGTTTTGCTAAAGGTTTAAAAAAGAAAACAAAAGAAAACATGACTATTCTATAAAGATTTTTCAAAAAAAGTTTGCTTTCAAAAAGAATGTAAAGCATAAATTGTAGGCCAAAATTTAATGTCTAAGAAAAACCCAGTTCAAATCATGTTAGCTAAAGCCATGTTTAAATATTTTTGTTGGCTTTGGCCAGTATTTTTTACTATGTCAAAAGATTGTTAGAACATGCAATCTCCCCAAACATGTTCTGTATGTTCTCTTTGACACGATATAAGTTACTTTGTAAATAGAGCCACTGCTTCAAGTCCTGGAACAGAAGGAAAATCATATTATAACATTTTATTTTCACTTATTTTTAATAAAGAACAGGTTACTGCTTAGCCCTCTCAGATACATTAAACAGTTTGCAAAAAAAAGCACTATACCACAATCAACCCATCTACACAGTGAAAAACCATGTAGGCATGTCTCCATCACCAATTATTTAAATATGGTTCTGGATAACTAAACTGGAAGTACAACTTTGACAGGATCATTTGATTTCAATGTAAATAATACATATATTTAATGGTATTTACAGAAAAAAGTTACAAATAGAGATTGATCTTACTTTACAGATTAATTTAAATAAATTTAAATAACCTTGTAGATTATGTATTATTGTACCACAGGAACTGTCTGTTACTTGTATTGTTTAAAGCAGTGATACTCAACCCTTTTGCCCTATGGACGGGATGGATGGTGGCCCATCCCTCCATGGGCTGGATCCAGCCAGTGGGCAGGCACAGCAGGACCCGATTCAGAGGTGGGGGAGAGCAGGGGCATGACCCAGCCCCAATTCAGCTGCATGGAGGGGGTGGGTGTATGGCCTGGTCTGTGGCCCAGTCCTGATCCAGCTGCATGGTATGGGGGGGAAGACACCTGGCTGCACAGGACTTGGGAATTTGGGAGCAAGGGAGGCAGTATTAATGGTCACTGCTCCCCGCTGCCAAATTTCTGACCTGTGTGGAGCTTAGTGGGCTGGATGCCATGACTCTGTAGGCTGAATCTGCAATGAGCCAGGGGTTGGGCACCACTGGTTTAAAGCAATGGAGGCCAACCTTTCTGGCAGATGTGCCACAAATCAGCTCTGACTCTTTCCCCTCCCTGATCTGCTGCTCTGCTTTCTGATTCCTGCCCTGTACTCCCTGACTTATCTGCTACTTTGCTGTCTGCTCCCTGTCCTATTTGCCTGTCCCCTCCCCTCCTGCTACGTGCCACACAAGCTACCTGTGCCACTTGTGCCACACATACTACAGGTTGGCCACCCCTGGTTTAAAGTATGTTTTAATGCCTACATTATCATTACCAGGGCTGCTGTTCAGATATGGCCCAACTGATTCTATGAAATCACTGCTCTGCTTCAGTACGCTACCATGCTATTTGACACCTCACTAGCCAACATGAGACGGTTACGATTTCTCAATCTCTACAAGCCAAAGGCAGTGATAAACTCAACACCAGCATACCAAATCCATAATAGGAACACAATTTTATTAGGCATGGATGGCATGATGTGAGAAAAGTAGCACAAGGAGCCAAGTTTTATGAAAAAAAAAATCCCACACCATGTTTAATAAAGTTAAACTGACATTCCCCTGAAGTCTCTGTGCCAAGAAAAAACACAGCAAGACACCGTTATGAAATTCAGGATAGTATCACAATACTGCTTTCATCCTAAATGATTTACACAGATACACAGGAAATAATGAAGTTAAAATGATTAAATCATCAAATCCTTACCATATACTAAGTTAGAATTCTGTTGTTTCAACTCTTTAACAATATCGACTACCATGGCAAGGAATGATGTGTCCCTTGTGTAGCCTTTGGGGAGAAGAAAAACTGGCAGTTAGTTTTATAGAGCAATACCTTAAAGAATCACCACAGTAATTATATGCAGAAAGTTGCTCACTTCTCAATCCTGGAAAAATTTAGTCCCGTTCATTTAAGTTTCTCACACTTTAAAATGCTCTGAGGTGACTGGGAAACGAGGAGCAGGATTATTAAAACATAATTTAAAACATTTTTTATTTGAAATTTTTAACTGCTATAGCTACTCCAGCAGAAGAAGATGCCTCTAAACTGTTCTTTGGAAGTACTCCATATGAAACAGTTTGTTGAAAGCTCCTAAGTGGCATGCTCTTTTTCAGGAAAATTATTCTGCTCAACTACAGAATAACCCTTCTCCCAGGAGAAAAATGTACAGGTGCCTTTCAATCACATGAAATTCATTTATACTGAATTCCATTACTCTGCCGTGAAGTTTAATGTCTCCTTTTACCGCTGAGAGCTCCACAAAAACAGAAGGGGAAAATAATTATCAGATATGCAATACCCTTCACGCCAGGATAACTGTTATGGGATGATAATCCCAGTTGAATATAATTAAACTCTCCCATTATCCCTGGCTTTAAAACATCTCCTACATGCGGAAATCATGTAATCAATCACATCTAGCAATCAATTTCTGCTTGAGTTTTGTAAGATGAACTAAACTCAATGAAGTGGAACCCAGCTAATAACAAGCCACAGAAGAAGAGACTGTATTCTTTAATTGGTAGGCAGCTGATCATAGACCATTTATTTTTCTATTTAAAATGCCTCCTACAGAGGCACCTTGCATTCACATGCACACGTATACCAAGCCTCTGTGTTAAGTGAAATAAGACACTGCCCAAGACTTGCTCTACACACTTAAAAAAGGTTAGAAGACCATTATATGCACACAAGCAACATTTCAAGGAGTACGATGACAGGGTTGTGAATAGACTGTGAGCCATCCAACTCTCCATTCTGTTCTCATCACACTCCCCACCCCAGCTCCCATCAGAGATCAAAGAAAGAACAGCGCATCAACGGGAAAAAGGCCAATCTTTTAAACTGCAAATCAGACATTATTGCAGATTTAGGAAGGACATTTCAAATCCATACTACTTTAAAATAAATGTAAAAACTGTGCTGTGGAGATGGATGAAGATGTGCAGGGATTAGCTGACCCAACCCTTCACAACTTTAGGGCTGGATACAGCAGCTGTTCTACAGTATGACCAACACTGAAGTATGAAGTATCCAGTTGTTTTTGCAAGAGGAAGTTCAAGGAAAAATGTGATTACCTGGGTTGGAATAAGGCAGCACCTCTCCTCTTGCAAAAATAGCATATCTCCAAGGAAAAACAAATACTGACCTGTGAGTACATAATCATAGTGGTTGACATTGTTCAGCTTAAGTCCTTCATACAGTTCATGAAGTTCATCTGAATTTAACACCTGACCCTTCCAGTGGGCGTAACCTGCAAAAGGAAAGCCAAATAATTTTGTAAAGGAAATTATATCTATCAGGGGTGTCTAACTCATCTGGCCCTGTGGACTGGAAGAGCAGGGCAGAGCCAGTCTGTAGACCAGGGCCAGAGTACAGAGACATGTCATCCATCCCACAAGGATTCCTTGGGTCAGATATTTGGGGTGGCAAGACAAGCAACAGATGCTGAGACTCCAGAAACTGCAGCAACTAACATTGCCACCACTTGCCCCACGGACCAGATGACATCGCTCCACAGGCCATATTTTTTACATCTCCAATGCATATTATATAAGCAGGAATATGCTATCCATCAATTTCCTGACGACACTCCCATCACCAATACTGCTTCTGTAAGAAATTAGTAAAGTTGTCCTCTACAGAAAACAATGTTGAGAACGTAACTAATCATCTTTACCCTTCTGAAAAGGAAAGGTTTGTGAAAGGGGCCAGACTAGACAACCCTGGATATTTAACTCTTCCACCGATCAGAAAAGAGAGAAATCACAACCAAAATGCAAGCTTCTTCAACCAGCCCCGATCTTAAACCATCTCTGAGGCAAGATGTTAGTTTCAGTCTTCATTAGATGGTTAGGATCACATATAGTATTTGATATTTTACATTATACCAATATAATCTGATAGCAGCCAGACAGCTTGATGACAGGTTTATTTGGCAATAAACCACCTCTGCAATTTGAAGTAATTCTGAATCTAGCATGCATACAAAAGAATGCATGCCAGACCCACTCTCCCTCACAATATTATGGTAGAAAGGAGAATCTCCATTTACCTCAGAAAACTGGCTAGTGCTTCAGTTTATCGGGAAACGCTATTTAAATATCGCACAGAGAACACAATAAAGAGAAAGTTGCACTCTCTTGCACCCTAGATCAAAACTATCTGGTACCCTGTGTTAGAAATACAGTCACTGTACAAAAACATTGACATAGGATGTTCCTTCACTATAGGACATCATGTAATAAGAGAAGGCTATTCTCCAGGAACAGTGTGTCCATACTGGAAGCAGTCCCATGGATATCATTGTAGATAAAGAAACATTTCTATGGATAGAAAAAATAAACTATCCATACCCTTATCCTTATAAAGACCTAAGAGTTACTGGAGCTACGAGAACTTGTTTTGGACTTGGTTTAACCTAGCTTGAAGTCAATGGAAAGGACAAGGGGCTTGAAGAGCCCCCCCAGACCTGTTCACTGTATTCAAAGTAAGCCCTTGCCCAAAGGATCCACAAAGATCGTATTGCCAGATTCTTCTCTCACACCACAGCCGAAAGCATCTTATTAGAAAAATCCTCTACAACATGCCATACATCAGAAGTAGGGGAGATATGGGCACCACCAGTGCCTTGCCACTGAAATTCTCTGCTATTAATTAGACTAACGTGCTCAGATGATCCAAAGAAAAGGATCATGTCCTACATAATAGAAAAGAGCAAAAAACCTACAATCCCTGCAAACCTGACTTTCTTGACCCCCAAATCTGTCCCACCCAATACCTGAGAAATTATTAAATAGCAGTAGGAATTCCAGGACATCCTAGCCAATATCCAGTGCTTTGAAAAGGAAGGAAAAATAAGACAAAACAAAATAAAAACCAGAAGCCAAATAAATAGCATTCATGGAAATAAAAAAGTGTCTTCCTGGGCCCTACCAGTTGACAGCAGAAGCCCTGAACCCAACATCTCCTACACCAAGATAAATTTCCTTTCAATGCCAAGACAGGGGTAACCAAATACTTCAACTCATATATTGTATGACCCAATTATCCAATCATATTATCCCTTTCATAAGAAGTTCAGCTTGAACTTTCAGGCCTTCCTCTCTGAGGCACCATAAACCCTGTAACTGTCTCCCTAAATGGCTGAGAACCTGCTTACTGAAGAGACTACATCTGTCACCCTATGCCATACCACCAAAGCCCTCCTTCCCAAGCTGCAGGTCTCATTTGTTTTTACAGATGGGACTACCTCCAAGAAATCTGCTAAGGACTCCTCAAGCATGAATTCTTTTTCACAGCCTTAAAATGAAGCAATCTAAAATGTGCTGTCCTTGACACTGTGGGGTGTGAAAATACAGTGTAACCCCAAAGCAAAAGCTGATTACCAGAGATTGCTGCCAAATGTACTCCAGTCGTCTGGACTGCTTCAGGGTAAGCAAATAGTTCAGGATAGATGGCAGGTAGATTAATAGCAGAGAGTACGGCTGTTCAACTACCCAGAAAGCAACCTCTTCCATTTAGCTGTGCAAACCATTCTGGTAGAAGACCTTACTGTACAGAAACCAAGCAGAAACAAAAAGCTTCCCCCTTCTCTTCCCCCTCCCACTGTCCCCTACCAAAAGTGGTTTAGGCTTCTCATCTGAGGCTTAATCTCTAAAAGGAAGTCATCCAGCTAATATCTAAACCAGCGATCCTCAACCTGAGTACTATGAGAGTCTTTCAAGGGTGCCACAAGGTGCCATGCAGTATTGGCACTGTTTGGTGTGCCAAGACCTACATTTGATTCACAAGATAAACCCAGAGACTTCAAAAAGGAATCCATAGTGTCAAAAGCCTTCTAACCTGTTGTGGTTGTTCTGAGATCTTTACAACATAAGAACTGCTCTAGTATTGTCCCGCAGTCAAAAACAGAATGAAAGCTAAGAAGAGGTCATTTCCTGCTTCTGTAAGTGAAGACAGTAGCACTAGCAAGGTGCTTATACATCTTCCACAACCGTTTTGGAACAGGTTAGAAAAGCTCAGCAATTCTCATGCAGTGTAATGCCACACCACCATTTTATATTAGTCAGTGCTGAGCATCCACTCGTGTAAGTTAGGGTATTTGTTTTGATTCATGAATTCAAAATATTTGCAAGAACTGCCAGGCTCAAGTGTCTCATTAATTACAATATTATGGTTATTCATGCATGATTTTTCCATTTTGTTTAAAAAATGTATTTCCAGTCACTTTATTTATTATGCCCTGTAGTTTTTTAAATGGAATGCCTCTAAATTAGAGGTTGGTAATTATTTCAGCTGGAAGGCCCCTTAATAAGTTTTGGTGAGCTGCTGAGGGCCACACATGCACAAAATCTTTCAGAAGACAGCCTTTTAACAAAAAACCCCACAAATATACTAAAAATCAAACATCTACTATAACATATTTTAATTTTATTTCAAAAAATAATTTTGTCCCGATTTATGTTTTTATAAGAAGCGTACATAGAAGTGATTGCGTAATAGCTCAAAATAAAGTCTCACTTTTATATATTGTGTGGAAGAGTGGGGGAGGCTGCCCACATGCCAGGTCATGGGAGCCAGCCAGGGTGGGGGGAGGGAGAGGGGCCAGGGGGCGCATTCTTTAAAAGGGGTGGACAGGGTTGCTGCAAGTGTCGTGGATTGCCATTCTCAGTGCATCTTCACACCTGGCTGTTGGTGATGGATCTCTGTTATCTCAGAATTGGAAGGCTGCTGCTAAATAAATTCATCCCTTCAAAAGTGGAGGTCTCCTATAGGTAGGAAGCTACCTAAATCGTACTGGAATTTCTGCAATTCCTTTAATCTTGTTCTTTTTGCTGCCTCCCCCCTCCCCCCAATTGGCAGCAGGGCCCCAGTGGCCCTGCCACTTGCTGCTGCTCAGCTGGGAGGCAAAAACCACAGCATATTTAAAACCACATTTTTTGCCTCCCAGAAGATCAGGAGCCCCTCCGCCAATCAGCGGTGGGGGGTGGCAAAAGGAACAAGATTATAGGAGCCTCTGCACAGCGCACTTCCAGAACAATTCAGGCAGATCCCTATTTACAGGTCTCTGAACCTCCTGAATATGGAATGCCTGGAGCTAAGAAGAACATCTCATGGTAACAGTGTGTTATATCAAGGGTATCAAGAGGAGCCTTAAGCAAAATTTCTTGCTGTAAGCTGACCTTCCAGTGTCTTTAGTTTGTCCTGATCACCTTTTGCGGTTTGCCTAGTATGCTTGATAATTATAAAAGGTAAGAGGCCTACCAATGCAGATCAGCCTCAAACAAATGTCTCAAAATGTGAACATTACAACATGTTAACCCACTTCCTCCAATTTGCTGTGGGTAATGCATGGTATAAAAGCCTGCTCTATATATCACTGGTATAAAATGAGAACAAAACAATTTTGATATTTGCAACCAATAAAGAAAATACTTCATTTCTAATTTTGGCAACAATTGCTAAGTTAACCAAAAAAGCTTGTACAAAAACAGGCAGACCCTGATTTAGAGACTTCTCAGGAGGGAAACAGCTCCATTTTGGGATGTAAGTTAAGAGAAGCTATGAGTCCCAGCAATTTTTAGCATAGCCAAAAAACCCTCATTATTCAAGAGTTGTCCTGTGTATAGACAAACGGCTGCTTCAAAAACAGGGAGTCTAAAGGAAAGCGAACTCTCTCTGTAACATTAATAAATTGCTTTACAGCTATAGTGACAAAAATTAATGTTGTTAGGAGGTAGTATCTGAATGGCTAGCTCAACAGGCAAAAGTAATCAGACAAGCTACCATCACCATTAACCCTGGCTGTGTACACACATTCAAATAATCTGGGAGAATTCTCCCAGGTTTGTTGTCATGGTAGAAAAAAACAAAAGCAAAAAAACCTTACCTAGAGTCACATGTATAGACTTCCAAATACTGAGGCCCTGAAGAGTTGAGAGCTTGCAGTGCTGACACTGTGCAGCTGGGAAAGGAGGGCAGGGGGGAAGACCATGTGCAGACATCTCAGCATGCTCTTCAGACTCCTTTGGCAACAGATGGCAGCAGTGCATAGGCAGTCCTGACTGGCTAATTCAGACTGCCCACTGTTACCCTGTGTTGTCAGCATATACAGACATTTGCTCTCCCAGAAGAAACTTTCCTGGAAGTTACTTAACTCTTGTTGTCCCCAGGCTATTTTTCTCCTGGAGCAGCCACTTTTACTCTGGAGGAAAAAAGCACCTAAACATCTGTATACTTGTGGAGAAAATG